CTTTGCCTTGTACTGCATGGTGACACTTGAGGATTGCATGAAAGTGGGTGGTAAGTGGCGCAGAGTATGCAGAGCACGGTGAGTTTCTCTTTTTCCACGTCTCCCCGCTTCTATGCGGACTACCTGCATGTGCCTCATAAGCCACCCCACCATACATCATCAAATTCCCCAAAGATCAGTTCCACTCATGTTCTATACCTTTGCTGTATGCCTGCGCGCACACCCCCAATGATATTATTCTTAATGACAGTAGTGTAGCACACATCTTGGCTAGCGTCCTCTCCTGTCCTCTCCGGCAGTCCCATAGTAACGATACATGTCCTCCAATGCTGCATAGGACTACCGGGGCATCTACATGTTGTAGTACTCACGAAGTATGACGCATACGAGCACATGACGAGAGAGCCAGACAACACGCAGGGTTGCTGCCCCCAGGCCGCTTGTGTGCAGAATGAAATTCCCAAAAGATCACAGACCTCTCACATCCTCCACTTAATGGTACCATACCCTCGTGAATCCGATGGTTTCCGGAAGAGACAACCATGCCTATTCGTGAATTGTGTTGTCCGAACTTTGGAGGGAGCGCAGGAGACGCGAACTGCGTCTAGCGCGACAGGAGCATTGGAGCCTGCTACGAATTCGATATGTGCATGTGCGGGGAAGCTCAAAGAATAGGGATCTGCAACAAACAAGTAAATTGGTGCAGCGGACGAGGAGATATGGTCGGTCGAAGGTCCACAAGGGAGGCATCAGTGGGCGTCGGACGCAGGTGTGGCGCGCGCATTTGTCGGCGCCCAAACGACAAGTCATTTGAAAACCGCTGTAAACGAGCGCTGGACGTCCTATTTGGGCAACCTAGCAGCAGGACCGTAGCTCGGTGGCTACGAAATGCAGAGGACACTGCTCCTTGCTTGTCTACCATGTCTGCGGTCGCCCTTCTTGCGCGAACGCGACTGTGCACGTCTTCAGCTCTTGCTCTGGCCCAATGCTCAGGTTGCCACGCTGCCGCAATACGCGCTAGTCTTGCCACGCAACAAAGACGGTTTTACGCGAAGCCAGCCAAGAAGTCGAAGAGCAAGGAGGACGCCACGTCTCACAAGAAAGGCGGCAAGGGTGTCTCAACAGATGATCTTGTTCCCGCATCACAACGAATCGCGTCCAGCGCGGATTACAAAAACACAGAGAGCAAGATGCAGGGTGTGCTGGAATGGTACAGGAAGGAGGTCGCCGCGCTGGAAACGCGGGCCACTGGACGTGTCACTCCTGCCGTTCTCTCCCCAGTACGTGTCAAGCTTCCTGGCGCGACGGACGCCAGGGGCGTGCGATTAGAGGAGGTTGCCACTGTCGGCGTGAAGGACGGAACGACATTGTTGGTCACCGTATTTGAAGAGCATGTAAGTTCGCGTTCTTACGGGCGCTTCTCTGCAACCCAGCGCTCATGCACGCACCATGGTAGACCCTGAAGTACGTTGAGCAAGCTATATATGACGCCAAGCTCCCCAGTATCACCCCTCAGAAGGTAGATACCCGCACGATCAAGATCCCAATACCCAAGTATGTATGTCCTTGCTCATATTTCCGTGCGCACATTGACGGAAGCCTGCTTGCTACCATAGACCCACTGTCGAGACGCGCAATGCGCTGTATACCACTGCGTCGCGCCAAGCCGAGGACGTGCGCGTGCAATTGCGGAAGCTGCACCAAGCACTCCTGAAGAAAGCGGACATCAACAAGCACTCTGCCGATTTCTCTACAGTACGTCCGCAATCCTCTTGACTTACGGAGATCCCTGCCCATCATGACGTCTGTGATCACAGTACCAGGCTTTGAATGATCAGTGTATGAGCGAGCTGGAACAGATTCTCGCTCATCTGAAGAAGAGCACCGGTTAGCCCGTTACCTAGAACTAGTCTAGAGTCGACGGTATACTACTTTCACTTCGCTTTCGATGTACTATCACATACTCAAGCACGTACTCATGCTTAATCGCACTACTCAACGATATATCCTGCTAATCAGTCTTTTAAACCTGATCAAGGGATCAAAGGAGGAACCACCAACGCCTTTTGCAGTATGTTAGCTGTCACATGTACAATGCTTATACTTCCCATAGGCGCAGCTCACATGAGGAGAATCAGGTGAGCCCGAAGCTATGTTGAACCATGACTGAACCGTGGGTGTGCCTCTAGTAGACCCTCCGAGGGTGAGCCATAGGTCGACCCGAGATACATCGGGGCCAAATCGGCTATGATAGCCCAGGCTGTTCATAGATTGCCCCTCAACATATCTTCTTACGATGTGGGGCAACTTGTGCAAGGCATCGACGCCATAGCAAACGAGACCAATCCTGGTGTGGCTGACCGACCGGAGAAGCTAACGGCTGCAACGCTGTAGCACCGAGTCCTTTGCCGCCATGTGCAGAATCTTGGTCATGAAAATCGGACTGCGAGCTCAACGCTAAACGATGAGCGTCCACCGTTCTGAGCTACAGACGATCCGAAGTAGGACCCCTGGATACACCAGACCGCGCCCTCACTCGGAGACCGTATGAAGCTCGGAAGGTTGCAATGATCTCAGCCAACATGACCAGGGTCCTCGTCCAGGACGTCGGTACCACATATTCTGATACGGTCTTCCATTAACAATTTGAACCAATGGTGTATGATGTGGTGTTCTATGTCTATGCGAGGGAATCCAATATTACAGCACCGTACGGTGGTCGCGACGGCCGTGCGTAAGACATACATTTGCAGTTGCGAGTTCGTGCCTTCAAGTCTCTCTCACCCAAACCGCTGGCTCAGCCCATCGTAAATCATAAAGATCAACGCGCTGCTCGGCACCGCCCTCGCAACAGTAATCCCGCACCCCGCATACAACCCCCGCACGCCACCCCTCCTCCACATCTCCCTCCCCGTGCCAAAGAAGCTCGGCCGCTCCCCGCCCGCGCGCGGGCCCCGCAGCTCCGCCTCCGTCTGCATCGCGCTCTTGACCGTGTCCGCGGGGAAGAGCGCGACGTTGTACGCGACCCCGGCGCACGAGCCCGCCGCCGCGCTCTCCCACGCGCGCAGCTCCTTCTTTTCATGGGGCGCGAGCCCGCGCCGCTGCAGGAGCAGGCCCGCGGCGCCCTCCTTTGCGGCGAACCACGCCGCGCCGCCGCCGGTCTCGCGTATGAGCGTGCCGGTATGCCCGAGCCAGAGGCCGCGGACGCCCGTCTCGCGGACGACGGATGTGAGGACGGCGATGGGCCCCGGGAGCTTGGGGATCGAGGGCGGGGGAGGGGACGCGGAGAGCGCGGCGGCGCCCGCGGGGTAGATGGACGCGGAGGCGGCCGTGGCGGCCGTGGGCGGGGTCATGAGCATCTGCACTTGCATCTTGCACTTTACGAGCTCGATTGGCGTGCTGAGATACGGTGCAAAGGAAGCGTGTGCCGTGTGAGGTCAGGATCTAGCGCATGAAGGGATACAGGACGTACAGGACGAAGCTAGTGATAGATCCCGCGCCCGCTCCCGCCAGGGCGAGCTGGCCGAGGGAGAGCTGGCTCGTGGCGGGTATCCCGTTCGCCCACTTGATCGCGTTTTGGATCTCGGTGTACGACCAAAAGAGCGATGCGTTCTCCGCCATCGCACCGACGATGGGCGCAGGGAGGCCCTACATAACGCAACGCAACACACCAGACCATCAGAACCAAACAGTCTTCACACACGAGCGCAAGCACGAGAAGAGGGGGGAGACGCACCCGGTACAGCCCCGCAACGCCCTCCTTCCTCCACGTCTGCAGCAGACAATCCAGCGGCCCACTAAACCGCGCCTGGGCATCGAGCACTTGAGACTGCAGCCGGACCTTCGTGAGGTCGAACGGGTGCTCAAAAAACTTTGACGCGATGCCGGCGATGCTCCCGAAGGTAATGTCCTTGAGCGCACGGACGGTGATCGAGTCCGCCGTGGCGAGCTCCTCCGGGGTGACCTCCATCGTGCTGGCACAGGTAAGTGATAGTTGCGTCCCCGCCCGTTCGCGTCGAAAAGTCTAAAGCTATGGAGCAACTGAGGTAGGGCTGTGTGAAGAGAGGACGGTGTGTTGGAGTGTCCTGTTGGGAAATGTATTGATTGACTCGGGCCCCAAAGAGATGAGGAGAGAGTTGGATAGCCGGGAGTCGTGCAGCGCTACGAGGGCATCGTGCGACAATGAATGGACGGGACCGTCGGACGTGGATCAGAGGCCCCGACTAGCGACCGAGGCGCGAGATGCATTCGAAAATGTTTGCGATATTTTCAGACCGCAGTGCCTGCAGGCCGTCATCCCTCGCGCGGCTTTCCATGCAGGCGCCCTTGTTGGCGCCCGAGAGACCGAGCTTGCGACTTTCCAACCCGCTTCAACAAGGCCTAGAATCACATACATAGAGTATGATAAGAACTCCAATGAGATATGAAGGCAATACAACAAAGCATCACAACAGCGCAGACCAAAATCTACGAGTAACCTGCTGGCAGTAGGATAGCAATGTCCTGGTATCGTTGACATATGAGCGTAAGCACGTCACCAACATTACTTGAAATCATCACAGCGTCCAAAGTCCACCTGACGTCGTGAAGGTCCGTATCCCGACTCAATAACCAGAAAGAAAAGAATAATCACCGGCCCTGCACATCAAACGAGCAAGAGCGACCCAAGCACAGCGCAAACCAATCCCAGCGCGCCCGCGCTTCGCGCATGCCACCTCGGCGCACCTGACGAGGAGCTGCTCTGGTCCGAGCCGCTCGTCCGCGTGGAGCCCGCAGCAGTGGTAGTCGCATCTCCCGAGCCGGCAGTCGGAGAGGTTGTAGGCGTCGTGGAAGATGTCGAGGTAGGTGTCGACGCGCCGGTGGTGTACGCGCGGACGTAGTTGATCTCGAACCACGCGTTGTCGTACGCGGGGCTTCCGGGCCCTGCAACGTTGCAAGTCCCGGAACAGCCCGTGCTTTGGTATATTCCTTGCACACCGGCCCTGCGACAGACGATTGAGTCTCCAATCTTACTGTAAGAGGGTTGGATGTGTGGTTTGACTCACCAGTCACCGCACAGCGCGATGTCCAGTACCAGCTGCTGTGGCGTGAAGAACTGTGTGAGGTTGCACGTCGGCGTGACGGGAAAGGCGGCCGAAGGCGTGCCCCAGGTCGAGATGTCGATCGACGTCTGGTTCTGCGTCAATTCCGCGGGAACATCTGCTCTCTACAAACGGGAGCACCGCTCACGTCAGCCCACCCGCCGAACGACAGAAAGCACCACACGCAGCACAGAGAACAGATCGAAGACTCACGCTCCAGAACCACATAAAGACCCCCGCGACATCGAACTGCGTCGCCCACACGCCTCCGCCGGCTGCTGCGAAGCCCGCCCCGAAGCTGTTCGGCTTCGTCTCGTGCACCGTGCATCCGGAGCCGGTGCCGCAGTCAGTGAAGCCGATCGTGCCCGTCTGGACGATGCTGCTGTTCGTGGTGCAGCCGTCGGTAGTGTGGATGGCCATCTGGTTCGCCGACATCATGTTGATGCCCTCCACGATGTCTACGACAATCAGCACATTGAGTTAGAATTAGCAAAAGGGGACTCGAGAGAGAGCACTCACCGATCTCGCCGTCAAACGGCCAATTCGGGCCCTTGGCCCAAAACGCGGGCCACACCGAGCATCCGTACGGCAAGTGCGTAGCGTCGAACACCCACAAGCTGCCAAAATCGTACGAGTCCTTGGTGGTGAGGCGGATCTGCACGGTCCACATTTAGTGCAATGGACGAGGGATTGAGGTAGTTGATACCTCGTGCATGGGGTACATACCGTATTCCTGTCCTGGCCCTGAGGCACATTCGTCGTGTTGTCCACCCTGATGATTGCCCGCCCAGCATCATTCACATATGCCAAGTGCTCCGCCATCGCCTCGGTCTCATTCAGCCACCACACCGCACCTAGCCGAGCATGCGTTCAGTATCCGGGCCGCTTCATACGACGAGCAAATGGACGCGTCGGGCACGCCCGAACCGGTTCTTCGCGCCGCTATGGGCGCGGGAACGATCGGCGGACGTGCCGCGCCACTATTTTGGGGAGACTCGCAAGAGCACTACTCACTCAACGTCAAGTTATCCCACGAGCCGTAGAAGTCCCATCCATCAAAGAAGTGCTGCCCAGAATAGTCGCGGAGGAGGTCGTACGAAAGAGAAGGGCTCGCGAGGGAGAGGGCCATGGCCAAGGCGAGTGATCGTCGAGGAAGCATCTCGCAAGTCTCCTAGAGAGTCCTTATAAACAAGGGCGCTAGGGACACGGAGGTCAGTGAACGTGCAGGCGGCAAGTACAAGATGAACGGCGTACTGGGTTGAGGGATGACCGGGGAGGACCGTTCCGCGGTTAATCAGGAACACGGGGGTTTCAGCAAGCTCTGGCTTGGCTTGGGTTAAGTTGCGGCCGGCTCGGTATCTGACAAGGCTGTGCAAGGCGAGCAAAGCCCGGCTCAAACACTGAGTGTGCGAGAGGGATAGGTCCGAGTCTTGAACTCTATACACAAGAAGGCGCTAAGAAGTCGCAGTCGTCGCTGAGGCGTACAGATATTGAGACACCAGCAAGCAGCGTGCAAATTCGGGAATCAAGGCGTCCAATGGCTCACGGCTAGGCAGGAGAAGTCAGCGAGGAAAGGTGGGGCGTGAGCTTACTCGGAGGAGGGTGATCCATGTAGGCTCTACCATATCTAGCGCGGAGACACAGGCAAACGCGGCAAACATGGGCCGACATTCGAAAAAATGTCCATGCGCCATGCAGCGGCAGACGACGCCGAAGCACAATGTCGATAAAGTGAGACCGAGGCACGACGGCCGGTCCCAGGCAGGCCCATCAGAAATCGGAGAACTCGTGTGGCAGTCCGAGCGCGGAGACGCCTAGTGTGCCTCTGGCGCTCCGATGCGACTCCTCGAAGCCTCACGAGACCTTCTCTCTGCACCGTTACTTCTCACGAACTAGCTTATGTGCTGCCTACTATGCTCTATCATCGGTCAAGTACCCGGGGTTCTATGTCACTGCTTCTCAAGAACCGCCGCGAGCATGACCTGTGACAAAATAGTTCTATCTTTCCCACCGGCCGCAATAGACGGTGGTTACTTGCCGTCCTGTCGGCGGTCATGAACCGTGCCACGAAAACTCTGCGATCATCTTGCTCCGACTTCTCTTGAAAACAACGGACATCGGGAAATGGTGACCGGCCTGCGTCTAGTCAGGCGCACTATGTGTATAAAAAAGTATAGATTCTGTACATTGTGAGTTGAGATACTTATATGATATGGCCATGCTACTGCCGCGCATATCTGGACTTTGCACGCAAGGTTGACCCATACCTAGGCATGAAGCATGTCAAGCCCTTGAGATCCGGCAGTGTTAAACTCTGGAGGATGAAGATCTGCTTACCTCATCAAGACAAGAGGAAAAGCAATGGTGGCGATCATGAGGCAGCCCGACAGACTCGACGCCCAATGCAATCCAAGAACGCGGAATATGTGGGGACAGATGACCTGAGGCGAGCTTAGCCGGCGCGCTAGTATTGTTAAGCAAGGAGGCGCGCTTACAGGTAACACAGCTGGGAATAAGTTACTGGCAGCGATGCAACACCCGAGGGCGGTTGCAGTGATGTTTGTATAGACGTCTGTGCACATGATATGCAGATCAATGGAGCTGAATGACAACGCTAGAAGATAGCGGCACAGACCGATGATGTAGGCAAGAATTACAAACTGTGTGAGGGTGAATGCACGTTAAGGCAGAATCATACAGAAGCAATGTGATAGGACCGACCATCAGCCAATAGGAGGATATTCCTATGAACAAGGCCGCAAATAAAGGTGCAGCAAGGCTGATACCAGGGAACAGAGTCCACCTATTGGATGGGCGGTTCGTCAACATGGTTCATCTAGGCTACGGCACGGTGACATACCCGAACCAGAAAACACCCATTGCAACAAACGGCGTAGCACCGATGGCCATCGCGAGCCGCTGTTCAGGAGGAACACATTCGTGGGAGTACCTACAGATTCTACGTAGGTAGAACCAAGGCCGCAACACGAGCTCATACTGGTTGTTCAAGGTTCAGGCTGACTATCCACTGCATTGTATGCAACAAATGACGACCTACGAGGATGGTCCCAATAAGGGCGCCCATCAAGACCGTTGGGGAGGCCAGAGCTAAGCGTGCACGAGACTCAGAACAGCTTCGAAATATGATTTTGGACATACCTCTTGCGGTAATGGGAGTAAACTTTGCCGACGCAATGACCAGCGCTTCGAAGAATATATTCAGACAAGCGACCACGGACTATGTGTAACATGAATAATGTGCAGGAGATCTAGAATCGGGACACTCACAGAGAAGTATAGGGATAATAAGATAAGGACAGGCTCATGGGTTAGCATGGCAAGTATGCGGACCTTACTCTCCGGTGCTAGCTCAAGCGGAGCACGATATCGATCGTCGCGAGTATCCAATCGCAACATGCTAGCGTGTCGCACAAGGATTGTAGGTCTAATTAGGAATGGTAAGCTTTAAGCTATCGACCGATTCCATGTGTACCTAAGACGAACCTGTGGGTTTCTGGTAGTGTTGCAGCTATCAGAGCTGCGAAAACACCTCCCTGCAATGATGGGAAGGTTTGACGCCTGTAAATGAGAGGTGTTGCCTTCGTACTGCACAAGTCATACGCACGAATATGGCTGAAACCCAAAAGATACCACGCCAGCCTATACCTGACATAGCCATCATTGCGCCCAGAGAGGGTCCGCTGAAGGTAGATGTAAGCTGAATAAGACCCAAGATACGATCTCAGCAGAGACGAACCCCTGTGGAGTGGCAAATGGGAAGACAAAGGCGGCCAGCCTCTGTTCCTCAGCTTGAAGATCCCAACTAATGTTGTTCGTCAGCATGCAATGCTTAAGCTTCCAGCGCACGCATGAAAACAAACATGTCTGCGACAATCGCCCTGAAAACCTATGTCAGCACATGTGTGCACTAGTACACCAGCACCGTAATACAACTGACTTACCCTGAGACAGGGAGCAAACCAGAAGCGAAGAGGCCAGCCAGTATCCTTACGAAGGTCGCCGCCCCCGCACTTTGGGATAACGCACAGCCCATGTGCAACAGCTGGAAAGTATCAAGTTGAAGTGCGGGAGAACTGGGAAGGACGTACTGCTCACCGCCAGACCGTTGACACACAATAGCAGGACCCGCCTCCTACCAAACTGGGCCAAGTTCGTTACCAAACCTGTCATACAATACTATCGAGCTCACCTTGTCCGACAACGGCCCCCATATGAGTGGTCCGGCACAAAAGCAGATCTCGTAGTGCGAGATGGCTAGGTCAACCGACCATGAGTTCAGTTTCAGCTCGGTGGCCATCTCCTGCGCGAATGCCGTTGGTATAGTGGAGGATATCATGCTGCGTATTGTGAACAATGGGATCAGGTATGTTCTACTGTACAGTGGCTAAACTCACGCGTAGGAGGTCAAGGTTACTGCAACGCATGTCACGTAGTGCAGGTACCATTTGGACCATTTCTAGGAGAATTCAGTGGTAGCCGGCTCACAGCTGGCAGGGACGCCGACTCACCCGAGGGTCAATGTCGTCACACTTTTCGAAACCCACCAAGAAGACGTCCGACTCGGCGCTGTTGTCGGCCCTACTGCCTTCCGAATGATAGAGGATGGCACCCGTAGGATTGGGTTCTGTGTCGGCGTCGAGGACTGATTCTTCGGTCTTCTGGAATGCCAATTTCCCATCGTCTTCGAGGTACTCCATACCCAGTACTGTGAGATAGACTGTCCAGGCTAAGATGTGGGAGCGTTCGGTAGAGATGTGACTCGTGGTTAATCCAGCAAACCACGGGGGTCGAGGAGTGGACGGGGAGAGCTCGTAGCTGAAGTTGAACGTCTGCCCGAATTAGTCTTCCTTTACAGCAGTCACCCCTTCACTGAATGTCCGTGTCAAACAGACAGAAGTACTTTGAATGTGATGATCGAGACGACTCCATCTGGGGTATACGGTGAGAGTAGTAGCATTTGGGTCCATTAAGGAGGATACTCGATGCACTTACTTGACCATGGGATGTGGCTCGTCATCTTGTCGTTCACAATTTATTGGCTGTGTCACGCCTTCCTCATGACCACTCAATGCCAGGGCTCGTGAGCGAGCTTCTCCGACTCGCTCGCGATGTGTCTGGTGGTGAATGTCCTTATGTAAGTAGTATGGAAGCGCCCTCTGCCGGGAACTTCCGGCACGAGCCTTTTGAGTGTATTGAGGTCGCCAGCGGAAACGACCATCCCACCACCGTCATGTCTTAGTGCGTCCTCACAGTAATCTCTATCGTTGGGCTGCCTTGTAATCTTGCTAATTGTAGCGTTATCCTTGGCCGTGCCATCAAAAACGAGTACCTTGCCCTCGGCACCATCTTTGGCACGGTAGGGCTCTCCCTGCTCGCCACGAGCGGCGGCAAGAAGGACGCTCCGGCAGCGAAGCCCACCTTGGAACAGGTGAAGGACTCGGTCAAGATTGATGCCAGCTCAAAGTACGTCGCGCCAACTTCTGCGTGTGAGAATAGGACATTGACCAGATTCCTCGCCCGTTCTTACTGGGGATTCTTCTGCAGGGAGGAGGAAGAATTGTACGTGCCCATGTCACTTTGTAGAAAACAGAACGGACTGTCGGCAACTGATCAGGATCGACAGCATCCGCAAATTCGTCGCAGACGCGGAGAAGGAGTCGAAGCACTGATCCCACTATTGCTGTTATCCCACTTGCTGTCGCGCCATGGTCACAGTAGCGGACTAATAGAGACTTCGCCACCACCATGCCTTTCTGCAAGAATCTCGCATCCATACCTTCCCATCCGCTGTGCCAATCTCCATGTGTGCATGTGCGGTGTCCTACGTCAATCGTGCAATGTTCAGCGGGATGCGCGATCAGCCGTCCGCCTCGTTCTCCAACCTCTTGGTATCCAGTTCTCAAGAGAAGGGTAGAATACAATATGAGAATGTGTGCATATGTGCCGCTGCACAAAGCACGCACTGAAGAGTGCTAGTGATAGAGCAATTGACTTGGTTGCGCTTCGGCTAAGGAATACATCATACGCGCCGTTGGACCCGTCGCCACCAACCGGTCGAGACTCGAGTTCCTTCTCTGTCCCCAACACTCGTCTGCGCGCAGGCTCTTTCACCGTCAGCCACTCTGTCGCTCACTTGGCAATCGTCCATTCTACTGCATCTGCATGAACAAAGCCGTCGGACATTCCTTACGTATCTAATGTCAACATGAGCTCGCCTGTGCCGCCCAGTCCTTCTGTTTCTATTCCCGGTCCTCGCCCGCTCCAACTCGTCGACGGCAACCTTCAGTATCCTGCTGAGTCGCCATGCCCTTCTCCCGCTGTCTCCGGACTGTCCACGCCACCTCCCAGCGCGCGCAAGTTCAGTTCTAGAAGACAATCCTCTATTGCGTATTACCCTAGCGACCATACACCCAGCTGGGAAGTGCGTTCACCGACCGCCACTGCAGCTGGGCCGTCTTCGCTCAGACGCACCGCATCGTTGAGTCAGAATGTACCTGCACGATTAAATCTGAAGAGAGACCGGAGGAGTTTACCAATGGCGGAGGTGGAGGCGGTCGGTAGTCCGCTGACGGAACGTCCTCCGCTCACACTGACTGAGAAGTACGTCCTACCCTCCAACATCCATCTCTCTGCACTTCTCCTAACTTTGCGAGTCATCCCTTTTGCGTGCCCATTCTTGCAGACACGCGGACCTCCTCCGATTCATAGCGCAGAAGGAGTCTAAATGCCTCGAGCTCCGCTCCCAGCTCGCCGCACACGAAGCCGAGCTCGCCGAGCTCAAGCGCAAATGGGAGCGCATCGTGAGCCGCGGCATGGATCGCGCGTACTCGCAACAGCTCACACATCCTGGCTCGAGCTCGCTCCTCTCTGGCGCAGTCAAGGACGTCAGCCGACTCCTCGCCGCCGGGCTCTCCGACCTCTCCACATCTCCCGCTCCCGCATCCCCGCACCTCTCCTCGAAAGCAAACCGAGCGTCCTGGCACGCGAACACGCAGAGTGTATCCTCGACCGCCACATCCGCGACGTCAGCGTCGCTCACGAGCTCTAGCGTCCGCCTCTCTCAGTCCTCCGCTTCATCCTTCGCGTACGACGACGTGCCTGAAGAGGACGAGCGCGAGGGCGCACCTGGGTCGCTCCCCTCCAGTGACCATTCAGCTTCTCTCCGCCGGTCTTCGTCCTCCGTACGTGTAGACGGCGGAACAGGCATCGAGAGCCCCATTGAGATTTCGTCCGCGAGCGCACTCAAGGCCGCCAAATTGCACCGGCGCAAGAGCCGCGACGCCCCGCCCCCATCATCCTACCCGCTCGCATCCCCTGAGCCCGATGTTGCGAAGGCCGACAGCGCGAGTACACGATCCTCTGCGAAACGGTCGAGTCTGCCTGCAGGCAGCAGTAAGGGTGCAGCAGGTCTTCCGCCTGCAGCGTCGATCCCGGGGCTGGGTCCGCTGGCGAGCCCGCTGGCGTCGGCGTGGATGGGCAGTGTGGGGACCAGCGTAGGGAAGAAGTGGGGAGAAATCCAGAAGGGCGAGACGTGAGTGTTCCTTGCAGTCTCTCACGAGTTTCCCGTCCTCTACTGCGTCGACGCGCGTATATGCGCCCTGCTCGTCTCTTTGAGCGTACAAGAAACCTGTGCCTCTCCTCGGTCGCGCGATGTCTTCTTATCCTTGCTGACGCACCGAATGTTCTCCAGGTTCACGAAGAGCCAAAAGCGTGCCTCGGTCCTCATCTCGGATGCCGCAAGCTCTCTCTTCGCCGCTCTCACCTCGCCTTCCTCCTTCTCCCCCGCCCCAACACCTTCCGGAGTCTCAGTGATGTCTAACCCCTTCTCCGCCACCCTCTCGCCCATGTCGACATCGCCCGTGTCTCGCCCGTCCCCTGTCCCGAGCGCTTCTTCCCTTCTCGACGACGACAGCGACGCGACCGGGCTGGGCAGCGTCTTGGTGCCAGACAGCAAGAGCCCGCTGCTCACGCCGACGCTCGTACCCTCTCCAGCCTACGCTGCCGCTACTTCCCATTCCGCGAGCGCGGCGAGCAAGAGCAAAGACCTCTTGGACGACGACGATGATTGGAATTGGTAGAGAGCAGATCTCTCTACGGCTATGGGGCCCTTGTCGGCGGTTTGTCGCTGCGGGTGCAGGTCATCCTGCCGCATTGCTAGAGGTTAGATACCTTCGTGCATAGCGTAGCAACTGTCTTCTGTCACGAACGTGTCATGACGGATATCGTACACTGGTAGTTAATCTGAGGATGTTGTCCTGCTTCACTCCTTTTCTAGCGGTGGAATTCATGCTAGTATAATCAATAGTCTGCATTCGATGCGTTTGATCATCGTATACATTCCGTGAGCTTTGCAAAGCGGTCGAATGACTTGATCATTGTGTATGAACGACGGTGCTATGCACGAGAGAAATTAACACAGCAGGGAAAGCGAGGGGAGCGCGGACGCGGAAAGTCATGACAATAAAAACCCCGCGGAAGACAAAATGGCATCGAAAGAGACTGCGGCGATCATGAGAAGGAGACTTTGAACACTATCGATGGCGGATTTGTTGACACATTGCGAGACAGATGGGCGTTGAAAGAAAGCAAGATACAGACGAAGTCACGGTGACGAACATCGAGAAAGCGAAAACATGTGCAGCAGATAGAGAGTTGTTTGACGAGCATTGAAAGTCGAAAGCGATACGTCCATGTTGTCTTGTCGTGAAGTTCTTGATAGTGGTTGGTTGACGCGAAGCGCGAAGTGCTGTCACACGGCGCAGTATCCAGGTTCGTGGTCCTCGCTTCGGTCGTAGGCCAATCCTCTGCTACAGTAAGAGTCCGCGACAGGCGATCGCGGTCCCTCCCTGCAAGTCCCTGCGTTTACCCAGCCGTCGAGCGCACGATGAATGCTAGAGCGGTCGTCGCAGGGGGCGCGCCCCCGATACTGGTCGAGGATTGTACGTAGTCGTGGGTCCAACGTGTTTCTGTTACCGGGCGGTGCCAGAGAGGCAGGTGAAGCATACAGAGTTCTTGCAGATACAGAGCACCGGTAGGCGTCGAGCAGGGCTGAGAAGCGCAGAGTGCTATCACGGTGCGCGGTGCTCTTGCGCTGAGGTTCCAGAGCCAAGAGTCGGGCACCTTCCACGTCTTGATCAGCAGCGCTAGCGTACGGTCGAGTTGAGATTCCCGGACCGACACCTGTAACAGTGGATGTATACGTTGATTGGCGCGGTGTCGCAAGAGCGAGTTCCGGAGCAGCCCCAGTGAGCAGACACGCGTCAGAAGCCAGAGCTTGAGATAAGGTGGACTCGTGGACCGGCTTCTTCCTAGGATGAGGACGCGGCAGCACGAAGGTCTCCCTAGAGGTACTTGATACGTTCCTCGAGGAACTACGATGCTCAGCTCGGCGATGTCCGCGCTCTCCGAGTTGATGAGGAGCGTTCCAGCTAGGAGCAGGCGCGCAAAGGTAACTCGCCTCGAAGGAGCCTGGCATCCGAGGAAAGTCGTCGCCGGCTGGCAGTCCTTGGCTGCTTGCATCCGCCGTGTCCAACTTCGTAGTGGCTATATCAAGAGTAAGAGTCCCGAGACCGGGAGTGTACGGCGGAGGCCCCGGTGTGCTTCGCTCCGAGTCGGTCGGCGAGGCGAACATCGACGAGCACCACGACTCCTGGCTGTACATGCTCGTGCTCGTAAGGCTCTCGGGCATGCCCCGGAAGACATCGGTACACGGTTCGACAACGATAGCAGGAATCGCAGGCGAGGAGATCACAGAAGAGACGCTAGATGCTGTGGCGAGCCTGATTTCTGAACGGCAGCCGTTCCACTCATGCTTGGACTGCCCACGGAACGGCGGGAGGCGGGGGCGTAGCGTCAAGTCCGGGTCCGTGTCTGGAGAGCTTGGGAGACTGGCGTACGCGCCCACGTTGTCCGAGTACGTGTAGTCGGTCATATCAGCATCTTGCACCAGCTACCACCGGGTGAGTGTGAGAGACGAGCTGCTGGAGACTGCATAAGCTTACCTTGCCGGCGTCGGACTGTCCAAGCCCTCCGATGGATTTGCAAAGCACCGAGTCCCTTACGCGAGAAGATGCCGCTGTCCTCAACCGGGCCGTCGGAACCTTCAGGGTAGACCACGACTGCCCCTTCTCGTTGAGCGTCGGCAGGATCAGGATGCGCGGTGCGGTCTTGACACAATACCTGGCGGATCGCCGGTCTGCATCTCTCCGACGTCTAGCGAAGGCAGCACACAGCTGCCGACATATGACAACGGCGATCGTACCCAAGCATAGCGCTATGATTACCAGCACGACCCATTCCATGAAGATTGCAGGAGGGTCTGCGGCCGGTCGACTGGGCATGGCGAGGGGTCCGACGAGGGGTCCGACAGGCACAGGTAGGAGCACGTTCGGCTGGTGTGGAGGCGAGGGCACAGGGGAAGCGGGCTCATATGCGGGCATGTTGTGGCGCCAGCGACGACCACAGAGCCGGGGCGAGCCTCAACGCGTAAGCACTTCCGGCCACTGTGATCCTCCGGGGTTTGGTCAGCCTCCTGTAAACAGCTGTGAACGACCAAGCAAGGTGGCCTAGTCTATGTACCAATATATCGATCGGGACCACAGATCAACGTGACTGCGTTGCTTACGATGCTCGTTTCCGGAGCTCTTTCAGCGCACGATCATGAGTTTGCACAACCGCAAATAGTCCAACCATTGCGCTCGAGAGCCGTGAAAGGCGAACCAGAAAGAGTGAAGTAGCGTTGGCGTTGGCGCTTCCCGATGACATGTGAGGGCGTCGACTGGAGATTTCAGTAGGCCTATCAGAGAAGCGCACGACTGGACCACAGCAAAACGGTGATACGGGATTTATGGTAGTAAGGGCTCTAGATGTCCTTCATTTATAGTGCGCGAAACAGAGGACGTCCGCAGCATCTGGGTACGAACAACATCTTGCGTTGGCGTCGTCTGCAAGCCCTTCCGACGAGCATCTGCTACCCGACCGCAACACATACCTGTGACGATAAATGGAGGATCGAAAACCTTGGAGCAGAGATCACTATCATGGGCGATTGAATAGCCTCGATCATGTAGACTGTAAATGTAGCAATCAGTACAATTAACAGGGACAATAAAATCAATCATCGCGGCCCAAAACCTAAGTTACGCGCCGCAACGAAATCATATCTCAGCTTTCCGTTCTGTGCCTGGCACTCTGGGCGGTTCCGTGCCGCCACCCCACTCCTCTTCTTCTTCGAGGACGATGAGATGGAGAGGAACCAGAGCAGGGGGCCAGACACGGGTCTCACGGAGGCTATGCCCCTCGACGTTCATTCGAGTTGACATCATAGATGCGCAGACGCGGAACAGCGTACTCACCTTCTCGGTCCTCGCACTTCCCTTCCCGCCCACCGCCCCGTCTGCCCATATCTCATATCTGTCCTCGCATTGCGCTTCCTGCCTTCTAGGATGATGGATGACGGGAGAGCATCTCGAAGGGGCGTCGAGGACTGGCCCTATGCGCTGTTGGAGGCGCTATGGCTTCCGATGCGAAGTGCGTTGGTTGCGACGCTGGATGCGCTTCTGCGGTTCATTTACCAGACCTGATCATTCGAGACATGACGAGGACCGGGAAACAGGGGGGCATCTTCTGACAAGTGCTGCTGAAGGAGATGCAGATGAAGCTACACGAAATGAAGCAACTATCTTGCGCATTGCCTTGTTTTATCGGACGTAAGCAGAGGCTTCTGGGGCGGGCGTGCAGGCGTTGAAAGAGGGGTTACTAGGGGCGATGTTGGCAGAAAATCCGGCGGGAAGGTCGAAGGCGCATATCCGTTGACGGCGTGAGAGTGTTCTCAGGCATGAGGCTGAGCTCTATTAATGGGCGTACCGGGCAGAGATAAGAGAACTTAACAAACGGTTGGGTGGTAGCTGGGCAACTCAGGGCACAAACGAGGGGAAATGTGCGACAGGTTGCTCAGGAGCGGGCATTTCTGAACGACGAACAAGAGGAGCACGAGGAGGTGGAGTTGTGTTCTGCGGCCGCAGGGGGGCAGAGTCACGCTGTGACACGCTTGTCACGAATGCCGGCGTTTGTTGATCGGAGATGCTTCCCCAGGTCGTGTTCATCTCGAGCATCCTGTTGGCCGCCCACCACGAATCTAATCAGGGAAGGACAAGCTGCTCGTACCTCGCCTAGGATGCGCGATTCTAAGCTTCAGTATTGTTCTTGTATATATTCGTTGACATGCGTCCAGATTGCGGTCGAACGTCCGTGTTCCTCCCCTACGCCGCTCCCCTCCAGCGAGCTTGCGCTCGCCGCAGAGTGTTCCGCTTCCTTTTCCCCTCTCCTTTTACGAGGCTTGCCCTCGTCTTCCTTTTTCACGTACCCTCGACTGGGTCGACTTATACCTCCGACGCAGCGCGTTGAAGCTGTTTGCTTTCTCGCCTTTTAGACTGCTCTGACTAGACTCGGATACCCTGACCTGGAAATGAACTCTACCATACAAGGCAGCGAGGCGAGCTATGGGGCGCAAACGAGCTACGGTTCTGCAGAAGTGGCCGGTGTGGCGGTGAGTCTGCCCCGCACTATTAGCCGATCAAACGAGCGGTGCTGACTTGACGAAATCCTCCCTTGCAGGTCCTTGTTGTTGCTGGTGCTATCTCCTTGGTAGCGGTAGTCCCACTAATTGTGGTAAGCCCTCCAAAAGGACTGGCCGTCGACGTACACAGCACTAATGTGACGTGCTGCGCTTGCAGTCTTTGCGATGGTATGGCCCCAAGCTGGGGAAGACGCGCATCATGCCATTCTTCGTATCTCTCTTGGTTGCGAACGTCCTACAAGCCATCGGTACTATCATCAATAGCAAGTGGGTGAATGATCGCAATGTTGTAGCAGGGCACCTTTGCACTGCCCAGGGTGGGATCAAGCAGGCCGGCAATGTTGGGATGGCCCTTTGGTGCGTCCGGCGATCTGTTAATGCCTGCTGCAGACACTAACAAATTTGAAATGACGTAGGTCCTTTGCTTTGGCACTACACGTTTTCATGTTGCTATTCAAGCGACGGGTGGCCTTGACCGCAGTGCTATCGTGGGTACTACTTGGCGTCGGCTGGTTCCTGGTAGCATTCGTTGTGGCCATCGGCCCCCTTGCAATCCAGACTCGTGCGCGCGGGTCGTACTTCGGCCCATCAGGATTCTGGTAAGGCTGTTCGCTCTGCTCACATGTTCTCTCGGCTGACTTTATGTAGGTGTTGGATCACTGACGACTACCCACTGGAACAGCTCTACCTAGAGTACTTTTTCGTAAGCCCTACGTCTGCCATGCCCTTGTTTGTGGAGACTGAATCAGAGATATAGGAATTTGTCTCGGCGGCGTTGTCGTTCGTGCTGTACACGGCCGTCCTTCTCCGCGTGAGGGGAAACCTCGTCCGCACCAGCGGAAAGTGGACATTGCGCTTTGTCCCGCATGGCGAACGATGGCGGTTGGCCATCCGCCGCGATATCGTCGACAGCACGATGATGCAGGTCGCAACCCGCATGGTGTGGTACCCCGTACGTATCCGCATCACCCTGAAAGGCAATATCCTGACCGCGCCCGCCACGTTCAGGTCGCATACACCATCCTGCTGCTCCCCGTCACGATCGCGCGCTTCTACTCGTTCAGCGGGCACGACGTCTCCTTCCGCGTCATGATCTTCTCCGACTTCGTCTTCAACCTGCAGGGCGTCGTCAACGTCGTCCTCCTGCTCGCCACCCGCCGCTTCGTCCCGGACACCGCATCGCTCCCGATCTTCGAGCGCAGGAAGCGCGTCAGCATGTCGTCCCCAGAGGCGGTCGGGATCTCCCCCTTCTATCTGCCCCCACATCCCCGGGGCTCGGTCGCGATCACCGAGTCTGCCGATCCCGCTGAGAAGCCGCCTGTCTATGCGGGCGACTTGGGGCGAAGTCTGAGCACGGTTGCAGATGCGGGTACTGACGCGGATGCAGCCGCGAGGGAAGCGCCACCGGATTTGCGCATGCCAGAGCGGGCACGCATGAATTCATTTGCGTCGACGATCTCGACGTCCTCGGTCGATTCGCAGACGCCGCTCTTTTATACCCGTTAGGGGCCTCCCTGCTTCTTTGCCGCGGCACCCCCCGACCACATCCCCTCGTTTTCTCTATGTAATGTGTGTACAATGTGTCCGTGTAGGATTGTTTTCATGTTCCAGGGGTCTGGATATGGTCGTAGATTGGGGCCTTTATGATACTTATTCTTATCTACCGTTCACGAACTTGAACCTTCTGCACCTCCCAAGGATCGATCGCCGCGCCTTCTCCGCCACACGCTTCCTTTTTCCCTCACCCTCTTCTGCGCGTCGTGCGGATGTGCCTGTTTCCCGGCCTCCCGCTTCTCTGCGCTCGACGCCGCGTCTGCATCGTGTATCCGATTCAAACCTTCAAACAGGCTGACGTATCGACCCGCTCGTGCTTCCTCGCTTCTCCCTTCGCTCTGTACGAATAATCTTCCGATTGGGCAGCTCATTTGGCCTGACCACACTGAGTGTATGCTTCTTTCACGAATCACTAGCGTAGCTTCCTTCGCTCCAAGTGATTGTCGCCGTTTTAGAGAGCTAGAATGACATGCGTTCGCCGTTCGTGGCCGCAGAGATTAGCATCCAATGACGCGACGGTAAGCGGACGTCCGCCGCGGGTATTATAGCTTGAACAACGTCGGCGGTTTCCCTATCGGTGTATATGTGTGCGCTGCTATAGCCAGATGCAGCCAGACTTCCCGTCTATCTTCGACCCCGCGCTCAAAAGCGTATCGAGGCATCTTCAGGTACGATGGGACCGTCTATACGTCTCTCGCCTGCGCTCCGACAGTACCTTGACGGCAGAAGGCTCATCGTTTCTGCTTGTTGTCAGGCTGACAGATCTCGGACATCCTGGTATTTTGAGATGCCCGCATCCTGTAGCCTGATATGAATGAGACAAGAGGCGTGACAGTCAGTCATGTGCTGTGACGGCTCGTGTTTCCGAGGTTATCGGGACACCGGGAGAAGCCGTGGATGCCTGCAGGCGTCGGCCAGTTTGCTGTCCGTTCCCCCGGATCCCTGCGTCTGTCTCTTATCCTCACTGTTCCCGCACCGTTCTCTCTCAAATACAGCACATGCCACCGCTTGGAAGTCCGGATGGCGGCGATAGAAGACGGGTCCCCAGGGAAGGTGCGTGTGTCGAACGTGCTGGCACAATGAATCCAACCGTCGTTCTCCCCGCCTTATCATCCTCGAAGCACGTCCTAGACAGGATCCGCGTCCGGGGCGTTCCCAGACCCACACCCGCTGTGCGAGTACGCTGGCTGACGTTCAGATGCAGTACTGCTTAATCCCCCGACCTTGATTCAGACCGCCGGCCCTTGACGCGCTACGAGGCCGCCATCTGTACTCGTCGTCCGATGTTGTGATGCCACCGTTGACCATGGCCACGCCAGGCACTGCCGGAATTCGCCTAGGGCCCGTTGACGTGCGGCCTGGCACCTCGTCCATTCACCGCGCCCCCGCCGTCGAACACCGCGGCTTTGTGCGGGCGGCCGGAATCAAATACTCGGCGTCGTCGCGCCGTTATCGAATACCCGCACCTGAAACGCCCTGAGCTCGAGTCAGCAGCCCTTGCGCCAGCCCGGGGGTGGGGCGAGAGAGGCATGTAGCCTCTTTGGGTGCGTCCTACCGAGAAGGGGCTGCAGATTCGCAGTCGTCATGCCAATGACTGGAGTCATTGGCGCCTGCGGGCGATTCGTCCCTCCTAAATGAGCAGGTGGTGGGGCTCGGACGCTGTAAGATGCACGGTGCGCGCATTCTAGCCGTGCGCCAAAAGTGGTGCACCCTTCGTGTTTAGACACACTGCAGAGAACTGGCGGACGCAGTTCGAATGTCAGCGCGCCAAAGCAGTCGGGGATCGCGAGACGTCTGCCCGGCCGTTCCGTCCACGGTCTCCGTGAGAACGTGTCTTCCGAGGTTTTATTCCGCATCACGGTCATCTGAATGTCATCGCTCACCTATTCGCCCGAGTAAACCGCAGTCGACCGCTTCTTTGTGCGACCTGGAAAAGGCCCGCGGGTCTCTCTCAACGGTGGCTCGTCCCTGACGACTACGACATGCCCCCCCCCCCGCCCAGTCCCGTGCTGGCCATGGGAACAGCCGGTCGAGGCGTGTCCGGACGACGTGCGCTTCGTGCATACATGAGGGCGCCGCCATGATTGGGACCGATGTACCTTCCAAGGGGCGTCTGCGCTGTCAGTCGGGATATAGAAGAAGGAAGCTGAGGCCCCGTGCGAGGCGCGAGACGTGATTGAAATGGGGTGGCACGTCAGAACAGGTCAGAACCTTGTCTTCTGGAAACGTCGGCTGAATTCACGCAGCAGCGCGTTCTGGGCGCCGTGGATTTTACGCAGGCGCGTGTGTGTTTTCTACGAATGTATGTATTCCCTCCCTCGGAGGTGACTTGCTTGACTGATCAGCGCATCTAGATCAGGATCATTTAGGCGAGATACCGTATGGCGCGCTCCGCTAGAGTACACAGCCCAAGGTTTACGGTTGCTCGGGGTGGGGCACTATGCGGTCACTGGAACGGCGGGCAACAAACGACTGGACGAGTTTGACGGCAGGTGAAGAGGCCAGAAGCACCCCGGTGGCGGCACATGCACCGGAGGGAAAACCAAGCATTCTCGCAAGGCTGAGGACAAGGGGAGTGCTTCTTCCGATTAATACAGGTATGAGATATGCGGGTTTTGACTGTAGCCGTGACCGTGGCACCGCGACGTACAAGGTGCACGGATGCCGGGCAGGAGGCTTCTTGAAAATTGGGTTGTTGAATGGACGTCCGAACGTTGGACGCTTCCGTCATGCCGATGGGAAGCCTCTGCGGCCGGGGCCGGCGACCCGCGTGTCATCGCGACGTCCTCATTCCGCCAGGTGCGCCCGCCCGACTGCAAGCCCACCGTTCGGTATGCATGTCTCGCTTGCACGGGTGTCGTAAGTATGTCGCGCGGGCGTTGGGTCCGGCGAACAAGTCTTCATTAAGCAGGCACAGCCGCCTTCACGCGCCTGAGGGGCGGGATCTCCGCCGATCGCGTGCGATCATGGCCCGATCTGGGGACGAGTCGGACGTCCATCCGTCCGGAAACGTCTTCTGCGAGCCTGCGGGGCGGATGTGGCGGACGTGGAGACCTCCCCCGCCCGTCCTTTCCCCGCTCGGCTGCCAGAAAGTCGTGCGCACATCCGAGGGGACGGAGAGGAAAGGGGCAAAGGCGCGACAGGCGATTGGCAGCGGGGACCAGCTGCCATCCGCTGCCATCAGCGCAAGTCCTTCGGGGACATGATTGCAATAAAATACGGTAACGCCGGCCTGCTGCCCACGGGGGGAAGGGGTGCTGCCGTGGACCGTGGACCGTCGGATATTCGCTGGCTTCTGTTCTGGGGCAGACGCTTCTTTCTCGCTCCTGGCCGCTCGTCCTAGATCTGGCCATCTGGCCTCTTGCGCACGCACACACGGCGCACGCTGGCTTGTACTTATAAGTGCGCCCCCTTGCGGCCGGGCTCGCTCCTCCTTTTGCTCTCCACTCCTTTGCCCCGTCCCTCTGTCCCCTGGTTCCGCCATACGGCAGGGCCAGTCTCTCCTTCCTTCCCCAGACACACGTGCGGCAGAGGCTAGCGCACCGAGACTGAGATGCCGTCGAAGAACAGCAAGATCGTAAGCGAGGGCGACCCGCTCGCGTACATCCTCGCTCCGCCTCCGAACGAGACGGAGGAGCAGCGCATGGCGCGACTCGCTGCGGAGGCGGAGGCGAAGCGGATCTCGGACGCGATCGACGAGGAGCTGCAGAGGCAGGCAAAGGAATTGAAGCGCGCCCCGAAGCCCGTGAAGATCCTCTTACTTGGTGAGCTGCGAATCCTCCAGCGGCGGCTCCGCACGCTGTGGGTGTGCGACGCTGATGCCGGTCTCGACGCGCAGGCCAAAGCGAGTCTGGTACGCGTGCTAGTGTCGATGTTCCGGAAGCGCGCGTCGGTACTGACCTCCAGAAAAGGCAAATCTACGACGTTGAAGAGTGAGTGCTCTCGCGCGACGTGTGGCGGCACGGTGTCTGACGACCACGCTGCTGACAGATTTCCAGCTGATGAACACCCCGAAGGTACGTGGCGTTCGTCCCACTCATCCCGCGCCCCGCCTCACACTGACGTCGGGGGAACGCCAGGCGTTCCGGGCAGAGCGCGCCTCGTGGCGTTCGGTCGTCCACCTAAACGTCGTCCGCTCCATCCGCGCTATTCTAGAAGCCATGTCCGACGCGCAGCAGCACCAGATGTCCCTGAACGCCTCGCCCACGCGCATGCACGCGCCCGACCTGACGCACTCCTCTTCCATGTCTTCCATCGCATCACGATATCGCCATCCGCCATTGACGTCGGAGCACCTCAAGCTCAAGCTCCGCCTCTCGCCGCTCATCCAGGTCGAGGAGGCACTCATCCGAAAACTGACCCCGGAGGGCTCAGGAGAGATCGAAGCGACGCAGCTGCGGACACACGGCTCCCGCGCAGACCGCGCGAGGGCGCTGGACAAGGAGCTGGCCGTCAACAGCCACTTTGCATGGAAAGGCGTCATTAACAGGGTGCTCAGCCGCAACAGCCAGGACGAGGAGCCGTACGACCCCGACGTGAGTGCCTGCCTGCCTGCCAGGTTCTGGTTACCGCCGTCCTCTTCCCGCGCCGAGCGTGGTCAGGGGGGAGGGAGCCCGGTTATCAGAACGCACGCCCTCGCGTGATGAATTTGCTCACACTGCCGTCTCGCGTACGTAGGATCCTGTGCATATCCTCCACGCGTGCGCGGCAGACATGATCACGCTCTGGAACGACTCGACTATCAAGAAGATGTTGCGCGCCCAGGGCATCCATCTCGAGCATTTGCCCGGATTGTGAGTGGTCGTGCTCCGCGTCGTGTTCCTCGCATGGTCCACTGAAGTGCAAGGGATTTGCAGCTTCCTCGACTCTCTAGAACGTGTTACACATCCTAGGTATATGCCCACGGATGGTACGTCAACATCAATCTTTAGAGCATCCGGTGACTTCTGGTCTGATTAATTCACGGACATTTTATCGTCTCACTCAACAGACGACATCCTGCGTGCCAGGCTGAAGACTCTGGGCGTGTCCGAGCATCGTTTCCAGATCAAAGAGGGTGAGAAATTCCGGTGACTGCCCCTGGATACACTCACACCGACGCCGGTAGGTTATGCAGGTGGCTTCTCGCGCGACCTGCGGATATACGACGTCGGCGGGCATCGGTCACTGGTGCGTATATTCATCACAACAGTCGTCATTGAGCTCAACATCGTCTGCGGTTCTGCTTCCCTGTAACAGCGAGGTCTGTTCGATTCTCTGATTCCGGATGAGAGGTTCGGCCCTGACCGAGATATGTATTGCCTGTGACGTTACAGCTGCTTGGGCGCCGTTCTTCGATGACATGAAGTAAGTTTTCTTGAATCTCGCTCTCCACGCCACACGACTTCGTTTCCGTTCCTCTCTCTGGCGGAAGTTCTTCGGCTGACGTGTGACATTGGCAAACAGCGCGATCCTTTTCCTCGCTCCCCTCAGCGGCTTCGACCAGGTTCTTGCGGAAGACGAGACCGTGAATCGGTTAGAGGACTCGGTTCTTCTTTGGAAGTCGATATGCTCCAACCCGCTCCTTGGGAAGACCAACCTTATCCTGTTCTTGAACAAGATCGACATCTTCCGTGCGAAGCTCGACGCGGGCATCCAGTTTGGCCAGTACATCATCTCGTACGGGAATCGGCCAAATGACTACGATAATACGTCTTCATGTGAGCCTTCTCATCGCTTCACAGTCCTGGTGGCAGGAGACCGGGCATCCTAACATACGTGTATACAGATATGCGCAGGAAGTTTGGCCAGATTCACAAGGAGTACTCGCCGCAGGCTCGTACGTTTTACTGTCACTTCACTTCGGTGACGGACACGAGGTCCACATCGGAGGTCTTGGTCAACAGTGAGTGCACTTCGTCTTTCCTACCGTGCGCGGGTGCTGACGACAGTGCAGTCCAAGAAATGATCATGATGGCCAACCTCCAGAACACCCACTTAACTTGAGGTCGCACACGCTCTCCAGTGGTCTCATTTCCGTCGCCCATATACCTTAGGTCCGGCCTCGAAGTCTTACGGCCGCTTCTTCGCCTAAAATTACCCACTCGCTATTGCTCGCTGACGACTTGCGTTGGTGCTGGCCTGCCACGCACCCGACGGTCGCTCGTTAATGGCTGCTACACTTACACTTGCTATACCATCTTCACGCTCACTGTTGTATTATAGCTCGCTCGCGGTTACGCTGCATGTTACACTTGCTCGCTCTCAGAATGCTATCGACGTTAGACTTGCCGATATTCGCCTTCACGTCCGACACCTGTAAGGGGGGCGGTCACCCTTAGCCGATCAAGCCCAGTAATGTGCACACATACCCGCCGGTAGCTGAGAACGTAACTTGTCAGTTAACCTGCCTTTTGGCGTAATGCTTTGACGGGCGGGTTTGAGCCATTTCACAACGCCACCGAGCTGCGCATGCAGTCATGCGCTTCTCCGCTCCGCTCCTCCGCGTACGACTATGAGCCTCAATCCACCGTTATGGGGCATTGGTTGCGATCGCCCACATATCCGGTCCCCTCGAGGCTAGTGCCTCCTCGTTACCGATAGGAAGTGACATAGAGGTGACATCATTCAGGTAGGCGTGGCAGACCGGCGTCCCCATCAGACCGCCTCACAGAAAATAGCTCCCCAGATGCAGACTTGAGCAAGGCCTGAGAACAAGAGTGTCCGGAAGCAGAGCACAAGCACAATCACGTCGACAGGAGGGTCCCCAAGGGGTGCGGTACAATGGTCAGAATATTGGACACGTTAGCGCGGACGCGTTCCGACACCGATCCCCAACGGATTTATTTGAGGTCACGTGGCTGCAGCACGGAGAGCGGTCTGAATTGACGAGGTTGCCCAGAGAGGGGCCGCAGTCTAGCACTCCAACGGTCCGGACACGCTCGAGAAGACTCGAGAGAGGCCGCGAGAACGCGTATGCCGCCGCCATAGCGCGAGGTGATCGTATGGGGCAGGATGAAGGGAGGGCGGAGGAGGCGCTCTACGACTTGTTTCGCCAGGACCCGGGAACCGCAACATAACCGGCCGCGACTGCGCTCGTCGAGTTCGCCTCATCTCACTGTCGGACACGGTCTCGGCAATGAGATGTAGACTTTGGGTATGAGGCCATGCCAAATGTATGCCACGCTCAGCACATTCTCGAGCATGAACGCGAGAGGGAGACCGATTGAGACGGCGGATGGGGTGCGGGAGAAGCCGGCCGGGGTCCCCGCGCAGTGCCAAGTGGGTGAGAAGGTGTTGGGCCACCCCAACGGAAAGTGCAGTCGTATATAACCCTTGGCGATGACGGCTCCGTCCCCCGCCCCCCTCTCCTTCCTCGACAGCCATGTCTTCCGTCGTCAGCCGCGCGGCGCCCACCGAAGAGGCCACCACCCTCACCCCGCCCTTGACGCCCCCTGCGGCGAGCAAGGGCGTGAAGGAGGAAGAGCCCGCCGACGCCAACATCCCCGACAACTATGTCTCCTGGACGATCAAGAACCAGAAGCCTCGTCCTCCAATCAGCTGGGACAACTGGTGGAAGGAGCTCAACTACCTCACCATCTCTATCCTCACCATCACCCCTGCCATTGCCATTTACGGCGCGTTCAACGTGCCGCTTCGCTGGGAGACCGCGGTTTTCAGCGTGTTCTATTACTTCGTGACTGGCCTCGGTGAGTGAAATTCACTTTTCTGCTGCACGCGTGGCCACGCGTGGTTGTGACGGTGTGCCCGATCGCGATCGCGGTGGCTCGATTTGGTAGTTTGATTGCTGAACTCGTCGACTGCTTGTAGGTATAACCGCCGGCTACCACCGCCTCTGGGCACACAGGTCGTACAACGCGTCGAAGCCGCTCCAGTACTTCCTTGCGATTGCGGGCGCAGGCGCCGTCGAAGGTTCGATCAAATGGTGGTCGCGCGGCCACCGTGCGCATCACCGATACACTGACACGGAACTCGACCCGTACAACGCGCACGAGGGCTTCTGGTGGTCCCACATTGGCTGGATGCTGGTGAAGCCTCGCCGAAAGCCTGGGGTTGCGGACGTGAGCGATCTGAGCAAGAACGAGGTCGTGAGGTGGCAGCACCGCTGGTACCGCACGCTCATCATCACTTGCGGCTTCGTCCTTCCGACCGTCGTCTGTTGGCTTGGTTGGGGCGACTTCTGGGGCGGATATGTCTTCGCAGGTGCTGCCCGTCTTTGCTTCGTCCATCACGTACGTGTTCTTTTCCTACGACGATATGCGCATGCACTGACCTACCTCTGTCCAGTCCACCTTCTGCGTAAACTCGCTCGCGCACTGGCTGGGAGAGACCCCGTTCGATGACAAGCACACTCCTCGCGACCACGTGATCACCGCGTTGTGCACCATTGGCGAGGGCTACCACAACTTCCACCATCAGTTCCCCATGGACTACCGGAATGCCATCAAATGGTATCAGTACGACCCCACCAAGTGGTTCATCTGGGTCTGCTCGCAACTTGGTCTCGCTAGTCACCTCAAGGTGTTCCCCGAGAACGAGGTCGCGAAGGGCCAGCTTACTATGCAGCTCAAGCGTCTTCGTGAGAAGCAGGAAGGGCTCACCTGGGCTCCCGACAGCAACGATTTGCCTGTTATTAGCTGGGAGAGCTGTGAGTTCGGCCACATGCTATTTCATGCGGCACGCATCGTTGACGATTCGAATGGATAGTCCAGGAGCAGGCTACGAAGCGCCCACTTGTCGTCGTGGCTGGTTTCATTCACGATGTCGCTTCATTCCTAGACGAGCACCCCGGTGGCCGTCATCTGATTGCGAAGATGATTGGCAAGGACGCAACGACGGCATTCTTTGGTGGCGTTTATGACCACTCGAATGCTGCCCACAATGTACGTTTTATCGTCCGTTTCGTTTGTTCTTGACGTCGAACCTCACCTGTGTTTCTCCAGTTGCTTTCTATGATGCGCGTCGGTGTGCTGCATGGCGGTATCCAGCACGGTCTCGATGACAAGCGCGTTCCTCCATCGCAACGCCTACGGGTTGCACGATACAATGAGCTCGCCTCCCCGTACGCCTCCTCGACAGCGGCGTCGGATTACGAGGGCATGCTCGGTTGAGCATGATCTCGTTCCTTGGTTGAGTCTCTTCGTGGTTCACGTTACGGCATTACATGTTTCGCGCATCTCGTACAATTTCGCTGCCCCGCTCTCGCATCAACACTGGTCGTTTCGTTGCATATAGTAGAATTCTCGTTAGAGTGAAACCTGGACCGCATCGTGCGGTCTGCGATGGGATTTGGAGAGATGGTCCGTGGTGTCATGTCGGTGACGATGGAGGACTGGATGTGTCGTCGTAGGAGGGGCCACTGAATGATCATGAGTCTGTACTAGCATTGGAATACATGATTTCAGTTGTATTCTTCGGCCACTTTGCCTGGAACGTCCCTTCACGGTCGATTATCGCAGCCGTACTAATCGCCTTGGTGGTATGCATGTCGCTCGGGGGTACTTAGATATGTTTACAGACCTTCAAGCAGTTTGTCCTGGCTGTTATTACCACCGCCATATGAATCCGCCAGCTTATAAGTAGTGCGGTTCGCTTACATAGCACCCGAGCGGCGAGAGTCGCCCATACGTTGGTGATTCAACCCGACTTCCCTCATGTACGTTCTGCTAGGCTTCCGTGGCGTGCCTTTGGCCTCAACATCTTGCACTGTGGGTACAGAGCGCATCTTCAATATGATAGATTCTCACAATGCGGCCCCAGCCGGGGTTTAACGAACAATATAATTGCGACGGCGGTATGTTTCATACATAGGTGAACAAAATGAACGTCATTAAACAATAGAGTAGCTTGCTGATGCATCGAGACTAGTCTGTCCTTTCTCTACGTCAAATATAGTAACCGATGTCCAACACGGTCGTCTTGTAAATGCAAAAACTTACGGGGATATCGCTTCAGATGAGCACAGGATTCACTGCAATACAAGTCGATGCGCGGTCAGGAGCGAATTGCGCCCGCTGACAAGCCTCCCCTCCACCCACTCCCTGAACGCCTGGTCGTCCCCGATGGTCTTGAGCGTGCCGCAGATGAGGGCAGAAAACGAGACCTCGAAGCCGACTTTGGCGGAAACGCGGGTGCGGAAGGACTCCAGCCTGACGTCCTCGGGGACGCGGAGCTTCCAGATGTCGTCGGTAGTGGGCACCCAGACCTTGATGGCGATCTTGCCATCTTTCGCCCCAAACTCATCAGTGGGTGTCTCGAAGGACGACGGCAACGGCGGCGCAAAGACGTCTTGGTCCTCCGCAGGCGATGCGTGGCTCCCCAGCGAGAGCCCGAGCACACGGGTGGGGGAGCGCGGAAGAAGAGGAGCCGGACGGCGGCGAGGGCGAGGATGCATCGGACGCGGGGCCGCAGGCTGTGAGGGCATTTCGCCCGGAGGCACATTCTCCTTCCCGAGCGCGCGAGACCGCGCGGGTTGCGTGCGGAGCGTCCCGCTGCGCATACGCTTTGGAAGGTTGTGGATCGCGGCGAGGACCTTCTTCGGGGTAGTTGGCTCAGTTGCTGCGGTGGAAGGCATGTTGAGGAGGTGAGTCGACGGGATGGCCAGGCTGGCGAATGGTGCGGATACCGGGGAGGGGGACCACGACGAAGAGCCGAGCGACCTGACGGGTCGATGTTGGAGCGGTCTCGAAGTTGCTAGCAGTAAGGGTCGTAAGTGCTCTCTCGGGCCCAAGGACGCTGGGGTGGCTAGGACGGCTTGAATATGGAGGCTGACCGGTCAAAGTCTGCATTTCGTGGTCGTCCCAGATACGACGCCTGCAGAACGTCAGCCACCCTGATACTCTGGACCAACCGAAAGTGGCTAACAGCAATGGACGCGACAGCATGTTGCGAGACTCGGCATATGGGCTATCGAATTTTGTTGAGATGCGGAGCATCTGAGCGACTTGTTCGTTGGCTACTGTAGGCTGTCACAAAATTTGTCACGAATTGATGATAGTCAGCTACTATCGTATCAGCGAGAACAATAGTCTTCGTGAAATGTACAAAGTCAGAACTGTCTCTCGCCCGCCATTGATCGATTGGTCGTCAATGTCGCTGTCGGTGGTGTCAGTAAGCTGACCGCCATCCTCGCTGGCGCTGTCCGCGCCTCAGTCAGCTCAGCATCAGGGTGCTCTCTCTTATGCGCAAGTTGAACCTGTACAGTCTGCAGTTAGCATCTACTCTCGTAATCACTCTACTCGTCCTTGATTCATTGTCTCATCGATGACGCCGCGCCCGATACGCTTGTAGGGGTGCTCAATTCTTGTCGGTCGCTCAGTTGCTCGCGCGCCTATTGGGCGCCTGCCTAGCTGCATTCAAGGTCAGCTCAAGCGTCTGCAGCACAGCGAGCAGAGACACGCAGGCAGCGGGCGCAGAGAGATCGACAAGATCGTCTCATACTAGGTTTGTTAGGCCCGGGAAATCAGCCCAGCAAGTGAATGGTGACGTCGGGAGAGCTTATAAACTCGTTGACCTGGACTTATTGTACACAATGCGCCCAAGTCGGAAACAGAATCAGCACGACATATATATGGTTCAGCTGAGGGTGCCGCTCTGGGCTCGATGGCAACTGGACTCAAACCTTGTGAGGCGACTCCATATCTCGAGACAAGCAACTTTATAGCTTCTGAATTGTCAAATCCTCGCGTCGCTCTCTAGTCCCAG